AGATGGGCGCGGAGTGGGGGGAAGGTTGCGGGGTGGAGGGGGTGTGTGTGTGTGTGTGTGTGTGTGTGTGTGTGTGTGTGTGTGTGCACTGTGTTTGGTGATGTCATTGCAGCTCAGTGAGCGCTGAAATTTAACACCGGCCGGATTTGCTTGGCTCCTCTTCTTCCAGGGGAAGCCGCCGGCCGCAGTCAGAGCCGAGCGCCTGCAGTTGCCACCGGCCCCCTCGCACCCGCTCGCTTTCTCCAAGTGGGTGTGTGTGCTTGTCTGACAAATGTTCGGGCGCGGGTTGTTTCCAAGGACTTCCCCGCCCCCCTCCATCTTCTTCCCTCCCCCCATCCCTTTCTCCTCCCAGGCCCGAAGCAGAAGACTCTACTGGAGTCACAGAGTCGCCTTTGAACCGCAAGTGAACTTGAGGGCTGCACTCGCAGCTGAGCTGCTGCTGCTGCCGGCGCCCCGCCGCCCGCCAGTGAGGTCTCCCTCCTCGCGTGCCGTCCCAGGGGAGCGCTACCCCCGGCTCCGTGGTTTCCTAGCCAGGGAGCCAGGAAGTCTGTCTACCCTTTGGGTGCTATTTCTCTCCCTCCCCATCCCCCACCCCTTTTTTTTGTTGTCGAGGTTTGGGAGCATCGTTTTCATGTGATTTTGTCTTCCTTTTTCATGGACAGTACCTGCACCCTTAGCAGAACGGAGCTGGCTTCTGTTTTCCGTTAGCGCTTCGCTGCACGGACAAATGCATACAAATGCATTTGGGAGCCCACAGGACAAGGCGTGGAAAGGTCTCCCACACGGCAAAAACGTAAGTAGCCCACCCGCAGGGGCGGGGGTCACACCAGCCTCTCTCCCCACTCCCGGGACCCGCTGAGCCGGACCGAGTTTGTGCTCCGGCTTCTTGGCACTTTCTGAAGTTGGAAGCCGCGAGCAGCCGTGGCATCTTCCTCTCGTCTCCTCAATTTGTAAAACACCGCGTTTGAAAGGAAGCCTCCTGCCGGCGGGTCTCCCAGAGAGTTTATGTTCAAAAGATCCTGTGGTTCCGGAGGGAACGCTTGGTGGCC